GTGCGGCAAGTCCGAAACTTTGTTTGTTTTCTCCTCTTATGGTATTGACTGCCTTATTGTTTCAGGTCTGCCTAGGTTTTTCCCTTATCGGAACACAATCATTACAAGTATATGCATCACCCCTTCTCGCTTACAAACTGAAATTAGTTCTTTCTACAATGCATTTATTCCTTTCATTGCTCCCTTAGTGGACGATAATTTAATTTTGATTATCGGTGATTTTATTCACGGATCAACCCAACCTTTACTTTCTTTCGGTCTGTCAGATCTCTCTTTAACGCCCACCAGAGGAAATGCTATTTTGGACAAGCTTATTACTAATCACCCTAATATCTTNTCTCTAAAACTGAAGGCGCCAATTTCGTCTAGCGACCACTGTCTCCTATGTCTTAGACCAAAAGTTTACCCTCGCTTAACATACCCCGCTTTTATTCAAGCAAAACAAATGAACATCAGAACTCGGAACCTTGCAGCCGACAGACTCCTCCTCAGAAGATCTCTTGCTATTATCTTCTCACAGTTTTCCGTTCAACAGTCTCCCTGTTCTGTTGATCATTTTACAGGAACAGCTAACGTTATTTTCAATCTATGCTATCCTATGGAGACAGCTTTTGTTCACACTGGCAGAATATGCTCTCCGTGGCTGAAAGCTTTTAGAAGACAAAAAGAACTAGCTTTCATGATGCTTCAAACAGCCACTGTCAAACAGCTTACACTGAAAATCAGGACAGAGATGAAGAGACTGAATGCTTCATTCGCAAAACAAGTTATGGGAGCTGGAGATGGCAAGGGATCAGATTGCTTTGCGGACAGAAGAAACGGACAGAGAAAAAAATTATGGACTTGGACAGTCTCAATGCTGCATTTATTTATCCTTCGAATGATCTCCTGTCTCCATACCCCACAAATCATCTATCTACCATAGACCCGGTCACTCATGTGGAAGTCTGTCATCTTCTTAAACCTATGAAAACCACGAACGCAGTTGGACTCGATGATTTATCTTCGGCAATGTTCAAATATGGCGCTGGCTCAGTCACAGAAACGTTTACGTCCCTCATTAACCAACCAATCTACACATGTTTGATTCCGGATTACTGGAGACCGTTCACTATTGTTCCTATTCCTAAACCATCTTCATCTAACATTTTATTTGAACGCCTTCGTTCTATCACTATCACATCCTCTGGACTTAAACTTACAGAGCGCGCTATTCTCACCCGCCGGCTGTCTGGTATTATTGCTCCCAATGACCCCCTCCAGTGTGAGTACAAGCCAAGTAGATGCACTTTGGATGAGGTCTCTTCAATGATGCATTTTATTTGCAAATCTGTAGATGATCCTCAAAAGTCGGTTCGTTGTGTTTTCCTTGACCATTGTTCCGCTTTCGATTCCGTTGCACGATCTCTTCTTGTGCAAAATTTATGGTCGCTCGGTTGCCCCACAAAATTATTGTCATAGTTGAAAGATTATTTCACCGGAAGGATTTCAAGAAAAAAAGCAAACGGCACTATTTCAAAACCGTTAGTGATTAATTTTGGAGTCCTTCAGGGTGCTAAGCTCTCCCCCTACCTATTTTCGACTTTCACCAGGGACTTACCCTCAATCCCACCAGCCAAAACCTTCAAGTATGCCGATGATGTGGTCGTATGTCAAGCCATCTCAAACCAATCGGACATGGAATCATTTTCCGACAATCTGTTGCAAGTTCAATCATTTTCGAACCACTCCGGTCTCCAACTGAATACTTCTAAATGCTTTGAATGCATTTTTAGGCTTCCCGAACAGACTACCCCCTGGAACTCTCAGTCATCAATTCCTTACCCATCACCAGAACAAATACCACAAAATACCTAGGATTTACCACAGATAGCAATCTACGGGTTCTTCTCATGTGCTTGCTTGCGTTGGTAGACTGCGTCACTTATCTTTTCAAATACGTAAGCTATGACAATTTCGCGTCAGGCATGAAACTGCGTTCCCTTGTTTATCAATGCATTTATCCTATCATAATTTATTGTTCGCCCGTTATTTTCCCTGATCTACTAAAGAAGGACTTCATTACTCTACGTCGAGGTTTGGTGATTATCAGCCTTGTTTCTCTTTTTCCTTCAAAGACTCCAATCACAAATTTGTGTAACTTGTATATCACTTCATGTGAGAACTTCACTCAAAAGATACTCAGTGACCCCAGTCGTCTACTCAATCCCGATTTATCTGCTTGTCGTTCCCATGCTTCAACCTGAGCCCATTTTCGCTGCTTTCCGTCCTGCACAAACATTTACCGCAACTCAACGGTTCAATATTTGGCTCATATTCTCACTGACACCGTGAGGATCCGTAACGAACTAATTTTTAACTTACAAAGATGAACACCTATTTAAGTTTTATCATGGCTGTATATTATTTTCATTCATTTTTTATCCCACTGTAACGGTGAACACATTTTGGACTGAAATGTGGGCACAGGGGCCTGCAAATGTCATCTATAATACAATGATACAATAATACAAGCAGATTGTGGCTGTGTTCTTGGCCAAAACCGGTCATGTGGCTACAGAAAAACAATGGCACCAGAAACTAGTACGTCACATGTGCTGGAAGCCGTTCCCGCGGTTCGTCCAAGAACACGAGCAAAAGGAGCTTTGTTGCACCATGACAACGCACTGGCACACAGGTACCATGTTATCGGCGGAGAACGCTTCCAGGAGGTTGGTCACCCACCCTATAGTCCAGACCTGTCTCCGTGTGACATTTTCTGTTTCCAAATGTCAAGCGTATGATGCGTGGAATTCGATACTAGTCACCAACAGCTACAGTGGACGCCTTCATTGAACTGGTCGAAAGGCTACTCATTTCGGCATGGTCGAGCTGTATCATCGAATAGTTTGAGCGCATGGAGCTGGTGGAGGATACTTCGAGAAAATCCAACGCTTATTTTTGTGTAACATATAAAACTTTTTGTGTATCCGGAAACGTTTTGCTCAGTCCTCGTATCGTATGTAACTGAGGGATATTGTAAATGATAGTTCTGACCATGCACTTGAAGGTGTCACCGGGCAGCTGATCAGACTGTTTCTCATTTTCCATTTAGGCGATATAAGACAACCTATCTTTGCCAGCTTGTTGCGGGCCATTGACGTCGCTCATCTCAGCACTAGCCTCCGGGTTATGAGTCGGTTGGAAACATCCACAACCCGACTAATGCTGAGATGAGCGACGTCAATGACCCGCAACATGCTCGCAAAGATGGGTTGTGCTATATCGTGTAAATGAAAAATGAGAAACAATCTGATCAACTGCCCGGTGTCCGAGGGGGTAGCATGCTTGAGGTCTGCCTGTGAGGTCTCGCGGTTAGATCCCCAGTTGCGTCGATGGATTTGCACTGCTGATGAGACCCAACCAGGTCAAAACAGCTGTCCAGTGCCTCGTAGCTTTTCAGTTCACACTTCATTTGCTATATACACGACGAATTCCCATTTGAAATTGAACCAAATCCTCCATTACTCACTTAAAACAAGTTCATTATTCGTTTATGATTCCAAATGGATCGAAAATCTTACAATTTCCACATGGCAACATCATGAATATAACCTGTTTCATAAGTCGATTATGGTACGGATCAGGTAAGTTTCAGAAATAAAAGTACTATCACGTGTTGCGGCGAATGCACACATAGGTATTTATTCAGTATGAAATAATTGATTCCTTTTTCACGGCGGATAGTCTAACCACGTGACGATCGTTCATAAACATTCTGTCAAATTGGTGATAGCACAGCATGTCACACATAACTCTTATTCCGATGTTCGATTCGATGTATTTTGCACACTAGGTCAACTTAGTCGCACATCTGTTCCACCCCATGTTGAGCATGTCTGATACACATGTCGGATGCAATAGTCCAGCTCAACCCGGGATCTCTCTCGATCTCTCTGTTTGGATCTCACTGAGGTATGCCGTTCAGATGAAACGGTATAGCGGTTAGGGCAGGTGGACAGCCAGGAAATTGCGTTACATCTGATTCGATTGTCGACGATCGGTG